AGCCCTGAAATTTCAAAGTTCCTCAAAATGTCATGAATAAGTGATATTTTCTTGATTTTAATTAAAAAATGACTCTTTCATTTTGTACCTTGATTCCTTTTCTTCCAATATACATCCAAACTGAAATCCGATACATTAAAAGCTAGCAGAAATTTTCATGTATAATGAATGTGGAAGGCAACCTTCTGTACGGAATTTTCCGGTCGTAACGCTGAGAGGGTTAATATTTATAATTTTAACCCTCTCAGCATTATAATCTCAGGGTTATAATTTTGTACCTTGATTCTTTTTCTTCCAATATACATCCAAACTGAAATCCGATACATTAATAAAAGATAGCAGAAATTTTCATGTATAATGAATGTGGAAGGCAACCTTCTGTATGGAATTTTCCGGTCGTAACGCTGAGAGAGTTAATATGAATGTATATCCTTCCAACTTTGGATTTTTATGCTAAATTACACAGGTGTATAAAATTAAGGCACCAGACGCACTGTATACCTAAGAGAGTACAGCATAAATGTGAATGAAACTTGGAAAAAATACACTTTATATCATAGATGAACATAACAGTATGAAATAGAAAACTGAGGTTTACGTGTCTGCTTGATGCAACTTTAGGAAAGGTATCAAAAGAAGACATAACATATCCTCCAAAAAGAGGAAGCTAATTGAGAGACCAGAGAGCCATATAATTCTCAACCCTTGTGCAAGTATTTGATTTTTCCACAAGAACAGTTTTTAACTCATGGACAGCCCAGAACTCTACTTATGTACTTCATAGAATTCTATGCTCTGTATGTTTGAGGTCCCAAAACTCAGATGGCTATGCCATTTGACCAATATTCATTTTACAAAAATCCTGGACGTTCTTTAAGTTGTAATGTTGTCATATATGAAAATGATGTGAATCCCAGTAACACCTCTGAAGAATTTTATGTTGGTTATATCATACAACGTTATCTATTAAAAAAGTGTAGAGGTGTATAACCATACATCCCACATGATACTATTCTATGCTAAGATGCCTGCTGTACTGTTTCCATTATCATAGAGAAATGAAAGCATGTCTCACATTCTGTATATGAAAAATCATCAGTTAGTTTATAGTATATTTCAATATATCAAGCAACACCACAGGGGCATTCTTTATTATATCAAGAAATAATGTGCATGGCACCATGAAAGACTGGCCGCTCTTTTAGAAAAGAAATACACTGTTGGTCATTGAGTATAGAGCCCTTTCTGTGCTGACCATCAACATTCAGTTTATCTGCATGTCATTATTTCAGCAATAATGTATCATTAGAACTCCACTTTTCTCTTGAGCATAGAGTTCAAGAGGCAGCTGTCTGGCTAATAGGTATGCAGCACGTAATATCAGTTAATGGTCTTTTTTAGAATATCGTTACCCTTGGGTGACCTAGGCTTGGATTAGCAATGTTACCAGTACAGTCACTTTGCTGATTATAAATTAACATGTTCACACCAGCATGCATCAACAGTAGGTCATGCTCAAATCTTCCATTAGGTGGTGTGCATCACTTGTGGAACATGCTCGAGTCTCCCATCAAATGGCATGCATTACCAGTGGGTCACGCTTGAATCTTGCATCAGGCATCATGCATCATTGCTGGATCCCTTATATATGAATATTCTATCAGACACTGTGTACCATTAGCAAAACCCTTGTCTTAAGAGATAGAGACTGTTCTTAATCTTGATGTATTTCTCTTGCTTTCATTTACAGATTTAGCAGACAAATCACTTATATCCGTATCCATGTTATCTCTATTTATACGGACAAAAATTAAAAAAGAAAAAAATGCTAACTACTTTTCCAGTTGCACTTACTGGAAGAAATGTGTAGTCAGGATGGAAAAAAGGGCATGAGTTATAACAATTTGCAAAGTAAGTGCATAAGCATTGTTTCCGGCAAAACATTTGCACATACAGCATCTGAATAAGTAACAGTACTGTGCTGCCAGCTCTATCACTCAGAAGTACTATGAGAAGCATGAATTCCAGTGCTACCTCATAGCAAAAAACATGAATATTGTTTCCGGCATGGATGGGCTAAGTGCAATAGTGTGGATGAGGTATACTGAAGAAGTGATAAAAACCATAACATACTTTACTCTAGCTACATGTGCCAAATTAAATAAAAAGTGCCAAGGTTCAGTTTGCATTCCAAATATGAATTAATTGCAGCAACAGTGTGCTAAGCAACCAATAAGCATTCTTTAACCTAAGTGAAGTATAAATAGTTTATAAGGTTCTGGTTTATAAGACTTCTAGATGAACTATCATCCCATTTTTACTTTATAATTTCAAAACAATAATTACGATATTATAAAGCATAAAAAATTTTGTTTTGTTCTTCATTGTGAAGATACAGAAACTAAAACTTATTAAAATTAACATTTGCTTCTTGCGGCTGGACACGCAACGATTTGCATTATTTATAAGTCAAAATTGAAATTTAAAGCTTAACAGTATGACTCAGCAGTCTCACAACTACAAAAGTAATTCATTTTATTTTAAGATAAATTCACCAGCTTGTAACAACAGCACTAAAGGCAAACATAATATAACAGTTTCACCACTGAGATTGTCAATCAATTTTTTAACTTGCCTCATTTGCATGTTCTGGTTCAGAGTAAAAGTGCAGGAAAAGTTCAGCATAAGAAATAACATATTTATAAAATTTTATAAATCTGGTGGCTTAATTTCAAAGTGTACGGTAGCTGTGTGTTGAATCATTAAGGAATCACCTTTGACAAAGCAATATTTGTAAAATTTAAAAAAATTTAAACTGGATGAATATAAATACAGTGCACAGAAAAACTGCAGCTGATTCTATTGATTTAAAAGTATGCATTGTTAAAAAATGGCTACAAAATCAGTGTTAATAGTTAAAAATATGTATAACTCTTTTTGATGATACGAGTGGTGACTTTACAAAATTTTGAAACGTCATATTTTGTCACATAGTTTACCTGTAATGAGCAAAACTTCATTATTGATATAGTTTTCTCTATTTTTCCATTGGTAATATATAGTTGTTGATGATGTTCATTTTGAATGTACAGTATCAACTGCATTTCTTTTTCAAGTCAGTGTTGACCTCAAGTTTTGACTTGGGAATTTTTGGTGATGTGTGACCCATGTTCCTCAGATGTTAGATGATCTCAGTCAAAGTTGATATTTGTTTGCACAAAATGAACATTTGAAAATGATAAACATTATAACTCAAAAACATTTTATAAAAGTAACAGTAATCTACAGTTTAAAGAATTCTGAAATTAGAAGAATATCTTCAAACTTATGCAGAAAAATTAATACTTGGGAAAAAGTCCCTTGTTATCTATAATAGAGCATGTTGTCTGCTTGGCATAGACTCAACAAGTGTGTTGGATCACATGAAAGATTTTTACATTTATTAAAAAGAATTCTGTTAAATTCATTTTTACCTCAAAACTTATACTGCCTCATTTTTTTATCTAAAGAGTGCACTCAAATCCTTTGTTGAGCTCAGATCAGGAGACTGGAGAGGTGTTTCTTAATCTATAAGGAACTTTTTACAACAAACATTCTTCAGCCACATTTACTGCATGCTTGTAGTTGTCTTTCTGGACTAAGACATCATTTTGTAGACTTGATTTTAATACACTGTCAAATTTCGTTACCTCTCAAAATGTCAACATATTTATGTGCATTCAGGATGCCTTCAATGAAAGCGTATTTACCAGGTCCATTCCAAGACATGCATCACCTAATTGTAATACATCCTACTGCATGTTTTATGATCAGAACCACATTATGAGGAAGCTAAGCCTTTTTACTTTACCTAAAAAAGAACTTTTTTGCCATCAGATACAAATGCATTTATCATTGAATATTAGTTTTCTAAAACTCCCAAGTCTTTTTTTTTAAACACATATCTGCAAACTGCAGCCTTCTTTTTAATGTTTGCTTCACTAATGAAGGGCTTCTTCACTCCTGTCCTCCCATATAACTAAGACTTTGTGTACAAGTTCTTACGGTATGTGGTGTTACAAAAGCATTAGAGCATGATAAATGTGATCTGCAATTTCATTGCTACAAATAAATGAATTTCTTTTAACAGACCTTTCAGTGAGCCTATAGCTTCTTGCTGAAAGGAATTTATATTTACCAGATCGCTTGCACTTTTCCACCTGATTCGGGCTTCTTAACTACGTAGAACACAGTTGATATGCTTGAATAAAAATTTTTAGATATTTGTTTATGGGTTAATTTATTTCTCCTTAAGTTGACTATTTTGTCACAATCATGTAAAGACAATTCTTGTTTCTTTTCAGACACTGCATAAATCATCCAAGTATTTAACTGAGAATTTTTTTAAAAAATAAATGTACAAATCGCTTTCTTGCAACTTTCACTCGTTTATTTTAATGAACCAAATTTTAGTATATGTTGTCAGTGAATGTTGCGTTACTTTTTTCATCATCAAAATTTGCAATATCTCTGCTTTGAATACTGTAATAAATAGCTTGGTGGATTTTTTTTTTCATTTCTTATGTCAATTGAAGTGTTGCACCCCATCGACATTTATTTTTATGTAACTTATTAACAAAAGTTACCGCTTAATCAAGCTGTGTTCAGATACCTTTGTCTATAACTGTACATACATAAAGTGCACCTTTCCCCTACCTTACAGTATTCTCCATCATTTTCTTCAGTGCTTTGCTGATGTTATAAATGTCGCTTAGTATAAATGATTTTAAAGAAGTATATTACTAGTGAATATTTTTTTCAGTAAGTCTTGTGGGAGTACTTTTATCTGCACATAAATTAATGTGTGTTTTAAATGTTTACAGAAGTACATCTGCAGCAGTTTTTTTTTTTTTTTTTAATTTGATTGAAATGAAACACTACTATCTAAAAATTATTTATATATAAATATATTATTTTAATACTCATAAGTTAGCTTTAGTATATTATGTATTTCATTTTAGATTTTTGGTGTGAATCTAGTGAGCAGTATGCTGGAATAGGTGAAGGAAGAGATATGTGTATTTCTGAGTCAACTAAATCGCTAGCTGCTTGTTTGAAAGCTGAAAGCAAGTTTTGTGATGCTGTTAAAGATATATTTTTAAGTAACAAATTTCAAAATTTGAATGGAGAAGAGATTTTCAACTATTTAATAATGAATGCAAGTCATGTATATGGAGTAAGCTGTACATGTTTATTACTTTATTTTTGGTATATTTATATCATTAATTTACACATATAAGTTAAAATCTTGATAATTACAATTTTTATTTAAATTTCTAAAATTGAATAAACTTTTTCCAATTCTTTTAAGCCAATGAAAATTGCCTAAGAATATTCATTTGCATGTTATCTTTTCTTAGAAAGATTTGTGGCAAATGTTTATAGATGCACTTGGAAGGAGACGAGCTGCTATTCCTCCAGATAAACGATTTATCAAAACAGAATGGCTTAAGGATCCTGTAGCTCGTTTGGTTCGATTCTTACTGCATTTGTCCCTGAAGTAAGTTTAAATTTTTATTACTGTATTATTACTTTTGTTACTGTATTATTACACCACTATGTCAAGTCACCTGTTTAATATGGAAACTTTCTGCTTAATTTGAACGCTTTCATGATTTTTTTTAGAAATGTCTTTATGGAACTAAATAATTTGTTTCAAAATAAAATACATATACTATCTTTTTATTAAATGAGATAATGTTCTTAACAATTAATTAATTTTCTTAACAATTTAAATAGAACTGCTATCAGTATTAAATTGCAGTACTATAAAGCAAATGATTGCTTTCCATCAATTCTGATAATATTTGAAGGAAGTTCGGAATGACAAAACAGCCTTTATGTTCATTTCTTGTTTTACATTGCATTTTTGTACTTTATAGACAGAAAGAAGGAAATTCTTTTGGCATTGAGTCATCAGATTCATTAAAAGATAGTTTAAGGACAGGCAGTATATCTTCAGATTCATCTTTAGGTATTATTTTATTTATTTTAATGTGTATTTTGGAGTATTAATTTAGTATTATTTGAGTTACAGATGAAGCATTTTATTTATATTAGTATCCATAATTTAAATAATGAGCACAGACTACATATCTTAAATTAAGCACAGAAATATGTAGAGTCATGATGGATCAGCATAGCCTTATAAAATTAAAACTAAAGTATTAATGTCTTGAAATATGCTCATTTCAGAAAAAGTCCATAATTAGATGTAAATAGATTAGATGTGTCCATAATTAGACCAGAAAGAGAAGGACAATACAACGTGAGTTATTCTTGAATAGCCATACAACCCAGAACAATTATTTGGGAAGTTGCTAAACTCTGTCTGTGGTGATAAACCTATTTTTTCACAAAAATGAATGGTTTGCAGAGGGTTGTTTTGTAGTAGCCTTCTTTAGAGGTATATATATGAGAATAATGCCAAGTAGCAGATATGGCCATAACTTTATCACAAAACAGTTTTTAGTCAATACTAGTCATCAAATAATCTGGTAAAAAAAATCTGTTCACCCATAAAAGAATTGAGCTAACCTCAGGGTGTATGGCATTTGAGTATATATGGAAATAATTATAATTTTGGAATAAAAACTTATTTTATTAAGAAATAAATTTAACATGAAAAATGAATTTTACGAAGAGGTAAATCCTTCCTTGTCAGCTAATATATGGTATGCGAGTTGAAATTTGGTACAGCATAGTGTTATTTATATTCTTTGCTGAAGGTTCTACCTGAAACTTTGTAATTATTTTAATTTACTAATATTCTCAGAAGGCTGCAGTTACATTCCCTAGATTTGTTATACTGATGATTGGCTCAAGACCATAGATGAATATTAAATCAATTTAAGTTATTGCTAAGGCTTTTTCTAGTGTGTAATCTAATCTTGTATGTGTCTGTAAGTGGCACCTAAGTACTTTGACAAGTAGTCATATTCAGAAGCTGTAATATTACTTATATGTTATTAGTAAGTGGATAATAAGGATTATGCAAGATCAGCTGGACAATGGTATTTTACGCTGATACTATTCTATACAATTATGGTTACATATATTATGTTACAATTATATATGTAATTTATCTTTTTAACAGAAATAAGTTTATATATACTCTTTTTAAACAATAAAGTTTATACATACTCATATAAATAATAACAGTCCTCCCAATTCTAGTGGCATAGTTATATCCATTTACAGAGTCTGGTGATTCCTATCTTAGAATCAAGAATCTGTGATGTATAGGAGAATTTACTGGCATTTCTCTTGAGATAGTCTTACTAATCTCAGGTTCATTCACATCTTCAGTTTCATTGCTTTCATTCCGATAATTATTTTGAGGTGTGAAATCTATCCAATTAGTTCCTCTAATGTTGTTTCTTCTGTTCCCTTCTATAATCTGCCATCTGTTTTTATAATCCTGTATGAATAATGTCTTTATGCTTCTCCTATGATTTCCTCCATTTTAGTTTTTCCCTTTCTCATTTATATATACTTGATGTCCCACCTTCAGTGTTTTTAATGGTCTTCCAAAAGTATAACTTTTTTTACAATGCTCTTCTGTTCAGTAAATGTTACTTTCCTTCTTCATTTTGTGTAGTTTGGATGAAATTGTCTTTTATACGCACCAGTTTATTTACTTTTCTTCCAAACATAAATTTTCAATGTCACTTAATTTCTATTTATCTATCAAAGTTAACGATATTCCAGTGACACTAAATATGGATCCTTATTGTCAACTGTGGCTTTTTCTAACATTCGCTTGACATTTGAATATGCCTTTTAACCATTCCATTTGATTGTGGATATTATGGAGTTAAAGATTTGCTTTCAAAATTCCATTTCTTTGCAAATTCTTTCAGATTTCTGGAATTATATTGTGGACAATTATCTGAATATTCTGCATCTGAATATATCTTGCAAAAAATGATTTCAACAGTTTTATGACTGCTATGTTTGAAAAAAACTTTCAAATGTTCAGTATAAACGTATTTGCTGGAGTAGTCTATAGTTAATAGGTAATCTCTTTCTTGAAAGTGAAAGAAATTATTTCCCAGTGCTTTCCATAGATCATTAGGTATTTCTATAAATATCATCAGTTCTTTACTATCAGCTTTGGAAACTCAAACATGCTGGACAATTTAGAAACAAATCTTCAGTTTCTTTTGACTTACTTCTGAATGACTGGTCAGTATATCTTTTCATAAACTTTGCAAGAGTACAACTATGAGTTAAAACTATGCAAGAATTTTTAAATATTAATATATTTAGTTCTGATAGTTCTTTAACCCTTTCTGTCACATCCAAAAAATTTCCTCTCCACATGCAGAAAAACTGAACGTAAACTGAACTGAACTGAACACCAGGGATAACTGAAACACCAGGACCAGACTAACTAAGTTTCACTGCAGTATTTTTTCCGTGAGCTCATTCGCAATAAAAAGTTGGGTGCACATCTGTGTTTCTTTTTTTGTTTTGTTGTTGTTTGTTTGTTTATTTTTTGTTTCTTATAGAAGAGGTTTGTTATCAACTAAGAAATTGTTGGGGTATTTTTCTGAAGGTAAGCGGTAATTATATTAGTTAGCTCTTTGATTCATTAGAGTAGTTCTCTTCACCAGAGACCTTGACAGATGTCGACAAAATATTTTACATTGCATTTGCCAGAAAAGACCTCTTTCATGAGCTTTATAAGTTTGTTTTAGAGATAAGGTTTTGCTGTTAATGAGTTTGAGGGATTCATCTGAAAATTGTTCATCTCAACAGTTTTTACCTGATACTTTTAACTGCATTATACAGAGGAATTTTACTATTTTTAGAACGATTTCAGGGCAATTTATGTTTAAAATTTAGAATCTATTTTTTTAATGTTCGATCTGGCCTTTTTTCTAGACTATAAGTCTGCAACCTATAAGTCTTCCATGATAGAAGGGCTTTTCATAAAGTTTCTAGGAGTACTGATTTCCATTCTTCTACTGCTTTCCAGAATCCATCAATCTTGATGAATCATGTCCTGGTGCCTTTGCACTTATAAAGAGCTGTTTTCAAGAGACTAAAGGAGACTCCATAGGTGAAATGTTAGAGGGCTTCACAGGAATACATTGGAAAAGTTATATATGCAATACCTGTACAAATCTGCACTTTTTCGAGGAATGCAGTGATACTTTTTTGGAGTATGACTTGTTGCTTTGTCTTGATGCAATTTCTTTCTTTGAAAGTCACTGGGATAAAGAAATGGAATTTGTTCTGTAAATATTGGACATAAAACTTTCTATTGATTGTACGTTGAGTTGGATTTTAATATTTTTTCCCACTCTTAGCTTTAATTTCCCAATGTAAGAAAATCCTGTGACAATCGTAAACCCCTTACCGAAACATTCTTTACATTGAATTAACCAGATTTGTACATTTTTTCTTCTTCTTTTCGATAATAAATAGACTCTTTTTTGTTGCAGCCTTCAGGTAAATCCATGCTTCATTCAAGGGTCACGATGTATTTCCATTGCTGTCCTGCTAAATAATTTTCGTACAGAGTTCTTCAAAATGTTCTGCATTGAGCAACATGCCTTGATAAAAAAAGCTGATAAACATTATGTTAATGCTGCTGCTTATTTTTGCACTTTATAATTTAATTTTAATACCGTGCATTTCACAACATTTTTTAATTATGGAATACTAATATTTCTGTTCAGAAAACGGAAAAACATGCCCTTCAAACCACACTAGACCGTCAATCTCGGAACGCCTGCTATTGTTAGCTGGGCGAGTTCAATATACGCAGGTGAGAGGAATAGAAAGGAAAGGTGTTCCGCAATGGTTTCCAACGGAAATAATTAGATCGTGGAATGGCTTTCAGTGGGTACCAGGGGAAAAAGGTATATGCTCGCTGACTTATTCCCGAACCGTGGAAGGAGTTTCACTGCTTATTTTTATGCTCCATTTTTATTGAACATTTTGTTTAAGACAGATTAATTTTTTATCAATTTGTGAAACAAAGAAACAAAAAATTTCGTAGAGAAATACGTGTTTGCAATGTAAAATTGTATGCTTATTTAAAATTTGCTTAAAGGCATAACGTTTTGGCGAAATTACGCAATTTTGTTTATTCCAATGAAATTTAATATTTATTAGAACTCTTATGACGGTAAAGTAACAGATTATTACGTGAAGTTACAATACGTAAGTGTAAAGTTTTATTTACTTTAGCTATTGTAGAAAATTGTAACTGTGAAAAAAAGGGCAGACAATCAATAAGAATAATAAATAATACACTTACTAATGAAACCCTAGCTACCCTCACAAAGCAGGAGCCCATTCATAGTAGGCGCTCAATCCTGGAACGACTGAAATTCCGTATACTCAAAATCCCTTTTCCTTTCTTCTCTTAGCTCATCCCTACTTTCACGTACCCTACCTACAAATCTTGGACTCTTCCAGCAAACAAGAGAATTCGTCCGGGATTGAGCGCCTACTTTCAAACCCCACCTTTTTTGTATGTGACAGTTTGAAAGAATAAGTTTAGAAGTAGCAGACTATATTTTACATTTCAAATAATAAGCTGTGGCCAGAAATTTTTATTCCAAAACATTTGCCCTTTTTTTTTTAATGTTTTATCAAAATCATTCAAAAAATGTGCAAACACCTTCTGTAACATAGTGATTTTTTAATTTAATTAGCCAACCTGTCAAAGTTGTGCATTCAGATTTTAAGTTCATTTTCTCTTGAAATATTTTGTCTTGAACCATGAATATTGGGCCTGTCAGTGGCATGTCCTCCCTGCAATGCTGATTCATGCATTCAATCATCCTTTTGAGGTGATTGCCAGTTTAGCATAATGAGTGATTTTTCTGTTATTCATTGGGAATTCATTAGGCTAAAAGAAGATAGAAAACTGAAATATATAGCATGGGCAAAACTGACTGAATCTGTTATAATTTGTCTCTGTGGACCTGTTATTGAAAGTTTACTTAATTATAT